GTCATAATTATTCAAATCAATTTATTTTTAAATATATGATGCTCTAAAGAGGTCTTTTAAGTATTATATTATTGTTAAAAAGGTACAAAGTGGAAGAAATATTGTAAGTGCATTTTAAGCATTATTACTGTTATTTATGCTAAATCATAAAAAATTTGATTAAGAAAGATTTGCATTATTCAAAACATAAAAAAGGAGTTTGTTTTATTTTTAAAAATAGAGGGACATCTCTAATAATCTCATCAATAATGAGAAGTATGATATTTAAACTTATATATAATTATTAAAATGTGAATGGTTCTTTAAAATTGTCATAAACCTTAGAGGAGATAATCATTGTTCAGATTCGAAATAATAGAGGTTTATATAATTATTTAAAAAGTGAGTAGTTTTTTTTTTAAATTATCAGAAACTTTAGGGGTGTCTCTATTAACACGTCGTTTCTATTTTTAAATATGTGGCAACGCTGAATTAGAACTGAACGAGTAAAATTCAACAAACCAACCACATTTTTGTTTCCATATTCTGCACTGTATGCCACGCGGTTTGACAACAAATCATCTCACACATTTCCCTTTGACCGTTCCACGCGCCGCTCAATTTCCTTCTTCCCGCTTCTTTCTCTGTTGTTTCTCCCCAGCTTCCTCTTGCAAATATATAAATACAAACCCTATTATTCAATAATCCACACATTATCAAATCTTCGTCTTGCATATATATATATATACGAGAAAAGATTCTCTCTGTAAAACCCATACTTCTGGTTTTTGTTTTGAAATGGAGAAGGCATCGTCAAGAGTGATAGAAGTTACAGTGATTACTGGTGAAGATTTGCGGGTTAACAGGAGAAACCCAGTGAAGAAAAATGCCTTTGTGATCGTAAGATCGGACCCATTAAATGCTAAATCCACAGGGATGAATACAGATGGCGGATGCAATCCCATATGGAACGAGAAGTTGGTCATGGATTTGCCTATGCATGCAAATTTTATTACCGTGGAAGTTCATTCAGGTAGCAAAATCATTGGGATAGCAAGAATTCCGTTGTCGGACTTTATGGGAGGGTATTTACCGGCAAACTATTTGAGTTTTCTGAGTTATAGGCTGAGGGATGACAACGGTGAGAAGAATGGGATTATTAATCTGGCTGTGAAAGTGAGTGGGCAGACAAATATGAGCTGCGCCGCCAGTTGTTCGAGGCCGTGGTTTGGTGGTCCGATGAACGAGAAGGTTTCTAATGGGACAGTAACCGGAATTCCAGTTTCTTACGGAATTTGAGTGCTTAATTTATTGTTTATACTATGGAAAATTTGTATATTGATTCATTGATTCAAGAAAAACATTGATTATTGATACATTCATTTCACAAATTTTGTGTAGTTATTTGATAAGTGAGTACACTTATTCGAACCTTAAAACATAGATATTTCGAATTTTTTTGATTAAATATGGCCTAATTTATATATATTTCATTGATTAGTTGAAAATCAATGATAGGAAGCTAAATTGAAAGAAAGAAGTTAAAAATGACAAAATTCAAAACGAAGATTGAAAATTTCATGGGTTCAATTGGATGCGATTAGAATGGATCAATATGACATGAAGAGAAGACTTAAAAGACTCAATAGGGAGCCAAAGCTCTAACTGGCGCAGCTGCGCGGTGGAAAATTGGGGCCTTCTTGAGAAAATTTCCTGTTTTCATTAAATTCTTTCTAAACCCCAATTTTAAATGTGATTTTCAACCAGTTTTCGAGAAATATAAATTCAAAACATCATAATGCATTGAAGAGAACCTCTCATTACAAATTATATCAATCAACATCATCAAAGAAATGCCAATTCATCATACTTTTGGAAAAATCAAGAAGCAATTGCAAGAATTCAATTAATTGACGATCAAATCTTGGTTCTTGGGTACGAAGTGGAAGACGCAACTGGAAATCATAATGAAATCATTGAAGAGATTCAAGACTAATCATCCTCTTCATATTCAATTAATCAAAATTCCAGTGATGTTTTATTGATTAATTATGATTGATTACGATTCTGCAATGCTAGATTAGGTTTTCAATTACTAAGACATGGATGAACCCTTTATTATGAAGTTTTAATATAATTTGATAATTTGAAGTTCAATATGTGTTTTATTCATAGATGATTGTTGTAAGATTTAATACTTTTCAATTATCTGATCACCAATTGGATTGATTTGTGAATTTTATTGATTCTCGAGAGACAATAGGTCAAACAACACTTTATAACAACTATTATAAAGTTTCTAACTTCTAATAAAAAGGGGAAGGATGGTCTACTATTCATGCAATAGTAAATAAATCCAATTTTACTATGTATGGTATCATTTTTTATTTTCTATTTTGTTTATGTCAAACAAACGTTCTTCCACACATCACCCCATTAGCATTAAAAAAATAATAATAATTTTAGTAAATATAAATTGTCATGAGCCAAAAAAAAAAAAAAAAACTCATCACACATGAGCTTTTAAAAAAATAAAAAAAAAAAAACTCATCACACATGAGCTTTTAAAAAAATAAAAAAAAATAAACTATCCGCACATTGCAGAGAGATGACAAACCATGTGTGAAGTAAAAAAGAAGAAAAAACTCTCCGCATAGTGTGGAGAGATGGCAAATCATATGCAGAGAGTTCCAACTCTCCGTACAGTGCGAAATAAAAAAAATCTTTCCGCACAGTGTGAAGAGATGGCATTCTGTACGGACACTGTCCTCACAAAGTGCGGACTCTTCGTACGGTGAGAAGTAAAAAATGCAAAAAAAAAAAAAACTTCGCACAGTGCGGAGAGTTGGCAAACTCTCCGTACAGTGCGAAGTTATAAAAAAAAAACCCTCTCCGCACAGTGATTGTCACGTGCGTTACACGAATTTTACATTTATCGTATTTTTATTAGTGTATGAATTTTAGTTTTTTGGAAAGTTTTTGAAGCAATATCTATAAATATTTTCATGATATAAGAAAATAATTGTAAATTAATTTTACAATTGCATAACAGTATTGTGTCATCTAAAAAAAATATACTTATATATTTCATACTTGAATAAGAAATATACGAGGTTATACAAATTCTTTTGCTTGTATTCTTTGACAGTATTGATATGATTGAGTTGAATGTGAAGATTATATTTCTAAATTTTGTGTAATTCAAAATTAGAAAATTGAAGATTGAGCACCATATTCATATATATTTATATTTTGTATTTCATATATATTTCATATATATTTTATGCTATGTTGAAAAAATAAAAATCTGGAAATTTTTTTAAAATTCGATTTGGTAAGTGAATGTACGGTATTCTACATTCTCGGTATTTGTAAATGCAAAAATCGGTATATAAAAATACAGTAAACTGCAAATACGGTAGGCACCGTATACGATAAGTTGCAAATACAGTAGGCAGTATATACAATAAGGTGAAAATACGGTAAGTTGTTTGTAACTACGGTAGGCTGCAAATACGGTAGGCAATATATACGGTAAATTATTTGCAAATGCGGTAGACTGCAAATACAGTAAGTGCAAATACGGTAGGCAGCATATACGGTAAGTTGCTTACAAATACGGTAAGCTGCATATATAGATTTATAATTTGTTATAAATATATAAAATTTATTTAATATTGAATTTCTTAAGTATTAAATGTTGTAATTCAATATTGTTTCTTTTTTTTATAATTGTATTTCCGAGAATTTAAAGAAAAAAGTGGTTATGAAATTGCTAATTTTTAAATGTGTTTTTTTGTTGAAAATAAAAATGATTTTTTTATATTATTTGCAAAAAAAAAATTATTTTAATTTTATTAGCGTAATAAGAAGATTTATTATGCATTTTTATTTTTTGCATTTTATGAATAATTTTGTTTATGGTGATTGACAAATATTCTTTCACACACACATTATGTCAACAACGTTAAAAAAATAATAATAATTTTAGTATATATAAACTCTATAAGACAAAAAAATAAAAAAAATCTCCGCATATGAGAAAAAAAGACTCCGCAAAGTGCGAAGAGATGACAAACTATCTCTCCGCACAGTGTGAAGAGAAAAACAAAAACTCTCGGGACTTTATTTGCAAGTTCCAAGAGGCCTTTTCTCAAACAATTTTTGAGCAATGCATTGAACACTTTAATTCCTGGCCTACAACTCGAAAGTATAATTTCATTAAAAATTGTATCCATTTCTAATGTCCAAGAGCTGTTATCAAGCAAGTGTAAAATATTGAATTTGGGTGGTACCCTAGAGCCTCCATTTACGAAAGCAATGTCATTGTACTATCAATATTTCATTTTTTGCACAACTCACATATTGTTTCATTGTATGAATTACGAGAAAGCTTCCTTCCAATACCATAAATATGATTTGTATGCTAAGAAATTGAGTTGTGACTGAAATTTAAAGAAGACATAATCGATTTTGAGCCATGTTTTTGGACTATGTTTCGTTGTATATACAAAAATTTTACAATCTTGAATTTTGACTTGTAATTAAGGAATTTGAAAACAACTCTCCGCACTGTGCGGAGAGCTGGTTGATCATCTCTCCGCACTGTGCGGAGTGTTTTTTTACACTCCACACTGTGCGAAGAGTTTACCAACTCTCCACACATGGTTCAACTCTGTCCACACTGTGTGGAGATATTTTTTTCTTTTCACACTTTTTTTTTACTTCGCATATGGTTCAACTCTTTACGTACTATGCAGAGAGTTTTTCATTTCTCCGCATTGTGCCGAAAATTTTACTATGGTGCGGACCAACTTTCCGCATAGTGAGGAGAGTTTTTTTTTGTCATCTCTCTGCACTGTGTGGAGAAGTTTTTTTTTTAACTCCGCATATGGTTCAACTCTCTCCGCACTGTGCAGAGAGATTTTTTTCTCTCTGCACATTTTTTTATTTTTTATTTTCACTCCACGTTGTACGGAGAGTTTTTTTTCAATTTTACAATATTTAATTACACAAAATTTAGAAATATAATTTTCACGTTCAATTCAATCATATCAACACTATCAAAGAATATAAACAAAATAGTTTGTATATTTCTTATTCAAGCATGAAATATACAAGTATATTTTTTCTAAATAACATACTGCTATACAATTGTAAAAATAATTTACAATTATTTTTTTATATCATAGAAATATTTTTAGATATTGCTTCAAAAACTTTCCAAAAAAACTAAAATTCATACACTAATAAAAATACGATAAATACAAAATTCGTGCAACGCACGTGATAGCGACTAGTGATAGAGATAAAGATATTACGCTATACTTTGCGTACTTTTTAGAGACGTTCTAATAATTTTAATGCATACTTTTATATTCGCATCTGTTGACCTCGAAAATTGGATCATCCACGTGGTCAACCGATAGCCACTCCACGTATTCCTCCCTGTGCACAATCAACGCCCGGTCAGATGCGCACGGTTGGGACCAGCGGGGTGGCGGAAGCCGTATACACTCCGACGGTCAAGTTAGGCTCAGGTGATCGGAATAGTACTAAGGTTGTGCAAAATAATGGGGAGGAGAATATATATTTGCTTGCTATGGAGTACTAAATAGGAAGAGTTTTATTACATTTACCTCTTGCCAAGCCTTGGGTATTTATAGGTGAGGAGAGCCGTTGGATGTGAGACACGTGTATACATCTGAACGGTATGAGGCGTCTGCTCATAGGCGTCAATCAGCAGCATCTGTAGAGTGGGCGGGTAGTTACTTCTCTCGAATTGAGTTGACATAAAGTTGATAGGTCACATCAATTAGCCTCATGGAGACGTCAAATCACTTTAAACCTTAGGGACAGAAAAGATCTTGATAAGGATCTCATTCTGAAATCGGCGACGGATCCTCAGACCGGGGTCCACAGGATTTATTACGCCTCGGATTCAAGGGGTTAGGGCGCTTTGGCCAGTCCTGCAGAATTACCTATGCCTCGTAGTGTGATAGCAGGTCATCTCCATTGGTAAAGTCACATCGGAACCACTTATGGGAACCACTTCGGATGAGCGTTCCACACCTCGCCTGACATGGTGGTGGACTTTTCGAAGTAGTTCAGTTAGGGGCGTAATAGTGGTCCCCAAGTCCAGATATGAATATTTATATCAAGGGTGGACTTGTCTTCCCAATTGGGTATGTGCGCCTTGGGATGGGGACCGTGACTTGTGAGAACTTAAGGGTCGATTTTTTGTGTTCACCGAAGCGTTGATCATAGGCAGATGCGCTAAATCTTCGCCACTTTGTGAG